TGGAAGTCACCCTAAGGCTGGAAGTCACCCTAAGGCTGGAAGTCGCCCTGAAGCTGCAAGTCACCGTAGAGCTGGAAATCCAAGTGGCTTACGTACTCACCGTTATGATCCAGTTTATTCTTCCTGACACAACAGAGAACAAACCTGCAATGTTTCACCTAAGACTCTATGGGTACGTAAGCCACCCTGTGCCGAACCATTGGTTGCGGCTGCGTTCTTGCCGCTCAAGGCTTGCTGCCTCTGCCACCGAACGGCTGATCAACCATGAGTCCAAGGAGTGCTGCGGGCGATTGAAATGGGCACGGGTAGCTTGGATCCTCAGCTGCTGGGTGGTCGGGTTCGTGGTTTGTGGTTGCCGAGGAAGAGAAGGCAAAGAACGCAGAAGCGAGGGAAGAGGCCCAATATTGTTACTTAGACTTCCGTGTCCAAACGGCAAAGCCTGAACTACCCGCGGCTTTGTTGTTAATTCTGAAAAGCTGCATGAGGAGCGCCAGTCTGATTCGGCCAGGCTCACCGAAGTTGAGCAAAGCGGTCACGGCGGTGACCGTTGACGGTGCGGCCTGAAAGTCATCGAGCATCTCCATCCTGGGTCGGTTCAAGAGAGAGAGAGAGAGAGAGAGAGAGAGGAATTCTCGGATGCAGAGCGAAGCTCACCACTGTGCGGAAGCCGGCGCGGTTGCCCAGGCCAGCCCCTTTTCCATAGGCCACCATAGTATCACCCTTGGGGCTGCCACCTTTGCCTGTTCCATGCGAGCCAGCCCCTTTTCCATAGGCCACCATAGTATCACCCTTGGGGCTGCCACCTTTGCCTCTTCCATGCGAGCCACCTGTGCCACCATCGGAACCTCCTTTGCCTTTGCTTGTAGACCCGCCTCCCTTTGGCCCTCCACCCTTCTGGCCGTCACCTTTGCCTTTGCCGTTCGAGCCACCTGTGTCACCATCACCTCCTTTGCCCTTGGGGCCACCGTCACCCTTGTCCTGGCCACCAGCACCAGTGCGAGCAGGAGCAGCACCAGGCGGGCCGCCACCCTTGGGGCCGCTGTCACCCTTGCCCTGGCCACCATCACCAGTAGCAGCAGCCTCAGCTGGGCCACCACCCTTGGGGCCGCCGTCACCCTTGCCCTGGCCACCATCACCAGTAGCAGCAGCCTCAGCTGGGCCACCACCCTTAACGCCGCCGTCACCCTTGCCCTGGCCACCATCACCAGTGAAAGTTGCCTCAGCCGGGCCACCATCTTTGCCGTCACCCTCAGGAGGTGCGGTGGCCATCGGGTGATAACGGCCACTCCAGCTCGTGAGCTTCACTCCTCAGCTGAAAAGGAAACCCTTAACCCCACAACCTAGACCCTACAGCCTAAACCCTCGACCCTAAGCGCTAGACTAAATCCTAGACCCTAAAGCCCTAAACCCGAAACTCTAAAATCCCTAAACCCTACAACCCTATAAACCCTAAAACCCTAAAGCCACAAGACTGCACAAGTGTAGATCAAGGCGCAGGGCCTTTATGACCCTTTCCGACGAAGTGATAACCCACGACGAGTTATCACTCTTTGCCGGTGAGGTCCTGATGTGCCGCGCGATGTCCGCGCTGGCCTGCGGATGGATGCAGTGGAGGAGAGCGAACACCTGAGATCAGGCCAAGGTTGCACTACACCTCTCGAGTAGTGCATGTCATGTTTGCACAGGGGCCCCTGATGCAAAACAACCGTCCAAACTTTAGCGGAGCTGCCTGGGTGGAGCCGCGGTCGCAGGAGTCACCAATCACCCAAGCTTGGTTCCGCGGGAGCACGTCAAGTGCCCGGCTCATGGATGGCACCCCCAAACGTCTAGTGCTCTCGGCTCGATCGAAAGTTGCGGAGGGTACAAGACTGGCACCGCACTGGGATTTTGAATATGGATTTGCTTCGATATCTGGGTGTGAGCTATGTGACGCGCTTATTGGTTCAGGGCTGTGGGATTTATGAGTGATACCGCTTCGGCTAGTACCACCATGTCTAATATCACGACCAGCAGTTGTACTGAGACAACCACTACAAGCCAGCATGTATTCAAACAAAAAGCACGAGTAGTTCCAAGCACCCTTTTCTCTATATAAAACCGCAGTAAAACCCTCCTTGTTTCAAAAGCCCTAGACCCTCAATCCTACACCCTACATGAAGACGAAGCAAAGCTTCAAAAGCTCTCCATCCTGAACCCTTCCCCTGCAGGGTGGCACCTTCAGGCGTCACCGTCACCCGGCCCAGGATCAATGGTCTGCTGGCCTGGAAGCGGCAGAGGAAGCAGGGCGAACTATTATCACAACTGCAGAAACCTTGTTACGACTTCCCCTTCTTCCAAGTGGTACTCACTCGCAAAGTGATAAGGTTCAGGGAAACTTTCAGACGCATCTTCCAAAAGCTGAACATCTTAACCCACGCCATCACCTGGGCCTGCCGCTGCCAGGCGGCCACCAGCAGAATGCCTGGGCTGCAGTCTATGACTATCTAGTTCATTGTTGAATCACTACCCTTCTATGTTTAAGCACTAGTCACCCTTGTAAGTTCATATATTCATCACCCTGGCAGCTGTTTTTCAACTACGTGTATACATGCATGTATATGTATATGTATATGTACATGTACATGCATGTGTATGTGTGCGGATGTGCAAGTGTGGTTGTGTGTGCATACATAAACGAAGACATACATGTGTATGTGCGGGTGTGTGTGTGTGTGTGTGTGTGCATGTAAATGGGCACTCGCTTGCTTGCACGCATGCAGACATACATGTACCAAAATTGCGACTTGCACCCTGACCCCCAATCACGATACCGGTTTTCCACCCGCCCAGCTGACCAAGTCGCACCGCAAGGAAATTCGTCTGAAGCCAAACCGAAACTACAGGCAAGCCCCAGGGAAAGGCTTCAACTCGCACACTCGTTCAACGCAGGCACGGCTTGGGAAAGCTTTGGGGTTCAGGTTTTAGGTTCATGTTTGTTTCCGGGCCGATGGTTTAGGGTTTAGGGTAAGGTGCTCACACTTAAGTCGAAGGCAAGCACGTCTTTTTCAATCACCAGTGGAGTTTGCGCCTTCACCGCGGGCCTGGTGCACTGGGCAGGCTGCGACCCACGTGACCCAGGGCCTGGCTCACCGAATCGAGATAAGTGCTCATCTCCGCCTCCCTCTTCTCGAGCTTGGTCCTCACCTCCTTGAGCTGCGTCTGCGCCGCCTCGAGCTTGTCCCTCAAATCCTGGCGCACTCCATACTCTAACGCGGCATCCTCCTTCATCTTGTGAATTTCCTTCTTGAGGTCACTCACCTGCTTCACGAGCCCTTTGTTCTCACCCTTCAGGTGTTCCAGGTCTCTCTCCAAGACCGCGGCGGTCACTGCCAAAGCTTTTGCTTTGTCACCCTTCATGTTGTCGATGACCTTCTGGTGAGCGATGTTGAGGTTCTCAACCTCCTTCACCCTCGCTGCCTCGGCAGCCTCCAGCCGGGCCGCGGCGGCCTCCAGCTCACCCTTGTGATTCTTGGCCTTGGTGGCCTTGTCTTCCTAGCAGGGGCTGAATGAACGGAATGCTGTCTAAATCTACTAATTAATCACTACTAATCCACACAACCTCCTGCGTGCCTCGGCTTGCTTCAATTGGCGCTCCAGCTCGGTCACCCTTTCCACGGCTGCAGAATAGAGCGATGCCCTCATACGTGAGCTTGTAGACCCTCAGATCAGGGTTCAAGGTATTAGGTGTTTGGTTTGGAGTTTAGTTTAAAGTAGGGTAAACCCAAAATCATCCAAGTAAACCCAAAATCATCCAAATCAGTCCAGTCACCCTTGCCCTTGGTGTCTGTGTCACCCTTGGCGGGCTGTGGGCCCTTGCCGAAGTCACCTTTTCCGAAGCCAGGATCGCCTTCAAAACCATCATGGTGGAAGTCACCTTTGCCGCC